CAAAGTATGGTTCTGAATTGGGCTTTGAGAAATCAGATAAGTGTCATTTGTCTCTTAGAAACTAGAGTGAAAGAGAATAATTCAATTGCTATACTGACTAATAAATTTGCTAGTTGGCAGTCCTGTTGTAATTACAGTCAGGCTGCTAACGGTCGCATCTGGGTTCTCTGGCGGGATAATATTGCCTGTTCTGTTAGCTCTATTTTTTATCAGTGTATTACTCTAAAGGGCTGCTTTAAAGGTGTTGATTTCATTTTTTCAGCAGTTTATGGTGCAAATGACAGCACTGCCCGCATGCTTCTTTGGTTGCAACTTTGTTCTATTGCGGATTCTATTGGAAATAAGGTTTGGTTAATTGGTGGTGATTTTAACACCATTCTTAATGTTGAGGAAAACTCTACGCATATTAATTCTAGTACCATGGCTGACATGACTAAATTTCAAAACTGTGTGGAAGATTTGGGACTGTTTGATCATCCGTTCTCTGGCCCATTGTATACTTGGACTAATAAGCAGCATGACACCTTCCTTGCTCGAAAGCTGGATCGTGTTCTGATAAATTCAAACTGGATCAATGTTTTCCCGGTCTCTGATGTTGAGTTTCAGGCTCCCGGTGACTTTGACCATTGCCCAGCTCTTGTATGGCTACATAAGGAAGCTCCTGTCACCAAGCCCAAGCCATTTAAGTTCTTTAATTTTTTGGCTTTACACTATGAGTTTATGTCTACTGTTGAGAATTCTTGGATTGAACCTGTTACTGCTAACCCCCTGCAGTCTCTTTTCCTCAAACTCAAAAGACTAAAATCAAGCCTTAAAGAGCTTAATAGAAAACACTACAATGATATCTCTGTGCAGGTTAGGGAGAAAAGGGAAAAACTGAAGATTCTACAACTTGTTAACCTTGATTCTAATGCTGCTGGGAGGCATATTTCTGTCGAGTTGGAAACTGAAAATGAGTTAAAAGCCTTAGAGGAAGCTAAGCATATGTTTTATAAATAAAAAGCTAAGATGGACTGGATTCGGGAAGGCGATCAAGGAACCAGTTTTTTCCACTCTATAGTCGCTGCAAAAAAGAAAAATAACACTATTAGAGTATTGTATGATCCAAATGGTGCCCGACTGGATACCTTTGATGACATGTCTAAAGAAGTGATCATGTTTTTTGTTAATCAACTTGGGGTGGTTGATTATGAGGTTAATGGAAGTGATGTCAACACCTTAAAAGAATTACTTTATTTCTCCCTTTCAAGTGAGGCAGCAGATTACCTATGCAAGGAAGTCTCTGTTACTGAGATTAAGAATGCTTTATGGGGTCAAAGGAATAATAAGTCTCCCGGGCTTGATGGCTATAATGCCTTTTTCTTCAAGAAGTCCTGGTCGATTATAGGTGAGGACTTCCTCAAAGCTATAAGGTATTGTTTTTATCATACTTTTATGCTTCCTTCATTTAACTCTACGGTTGTTGTTCTTGTACCTAAAATACCCAACCCTAGCTTTGTCAAGGATTTTAGACCCATTTCGTGCTGCACTGTTGTTTACAAAACTGTTACAAAAATCCTAGTTGATCGCATTTCTTCTGTCTTCCCTGATATGATAACCATGAACCAAACTACTTTTGTGAAGGGGCGAAGTATAGTAGATAATACCCTTTTAGCCTAGGAAATTGTTAGGGGTTACTCTAGGAAGAAAGTCTCCCCTAGATGTGCCCTAAAAATAGACCTTCAGAAGGCCTTTGATTCATTAAACTGGAGTTTTATTGATACGATCTTGCATGCCATGGGCCTGCCTGGGAAATTCATAAACTGGATAAGTGCTTGTTATGCAAATCCTAGATACTCTATTGTTTTTAATGACAGCCTTGTGGGTTACTTTAAAGGTTCTAGGGGAGTAAGACAAGGGGATCCCCTCTCCCCCTACATCTTTGTGTTAGCTATGAATGATTTGTCTAACCTCCTTAATGTGGCTGCTGGTAAAGGGGTTTTTAGCTACCACCCTAAGTGCAAAAAGATTGGCTTAACGCATCTGTGTTTTGCGGATGATCTCCTAATCTTCTGCAAGGGGTCTGTCGATTCTATTATGGGTGTGCAGGCTATGCTCGATCAATTTTACTCTATGTCAGGGCTGAAGTTAAATGCTGGAAAATGTGAGATGTATGCTGCAGGTGTTCCTGATGAGCAGCTCAATGTCATTATAAATTCCACTGGTTTTAAACTGGGCAGTCTCCCAGTTTGATATTTGGGTGTGCCATTGGTTACAAGGAAGCTATCAGTAAAAGACTGTCAAATCCTCATAGACAAACTTAAAGCCAAATTAAGCATATGAGCTAGCAAGCATCTTAGCTTCGCAGGTAGGCTGTAACTTATCCACTCTGTCCTGCTCAACATATCAAATTACTGGTGTAGGCAGCATATATTGTCGCAGGCTACCATCAGGAAAATCAAGCAAATATGCTCCCGATTCTTTTGGAAAGGGAAAGACATTTCTGTTAAAGGTGCCAGAGTTAGCTGGAGCAATGTGTTCCTGTTGAAATCCGAAGGTGGCTTGGGTATATATGATGTAGGGATGTGGAACAAATCGTGTGCAGTCCAGCTTATTAGGAAACTTCTGGCAAGAGAGGGCTCCCTTTGGGTAGCTTGGATGCAATCCTATGTTATTAGGGATGCTGATTTTTGGAAGATGTAGGTTCCTACGAATGCTAGTTGGAGCTTCAAGTATTTGTTGAAAATTAGGCCTGCAGCAGCTCAATTTTTTATGGGACAGATTCGTACCCTCAGCACGAGAGACATATGGGATAAACTGTACTCTTCTGCTCTCAAGGTCACTTGGCACCGTTTGGTCTGGTTCCCTGGTAGAATACACAAACACAATATTATTGCATGGATGGTTATATTGAATAGGTTACCCACCCGTGACAGACTTTTGCGTATGGGTATGGTTATTGAATCTGATAGTTGCCTGCTGTGTGGTAATGAGGCAGAGTCGAGAGATCATCTCTTCTTTGAATGTAGATCTGCTAAGGCCTTATGGGGTTCTATTTTGGAACTGTGTAGTATTCCTCGTGTAGTTGGCAATTGGGATGGTGAGTTGGCCTGGGCCTCCACTCTGCTCAAGGGAAAGCCCCTCATTGTGAGACTGCTCAAACTGTCTTGGTCTGGGCATGTTTATAGTATTTGGAAGGAGATAAATAGAAGGCTATATGGCAGTGGTGTTAGGTCAATGGATGCAATGCTGGAAGATATCAAGGAAGCCATACGATTTCGGCTGGAGGGTAAAAGCTTTAACAGGGCAGACCTGATTAACAATGCCATGTGTGTAAAGTGGGGTCTCATATGATTTATTTTATCTCCTACTTTGCTTGGTTTACTATTTTGATGTACATGTTTTAGCGATTTGCTAAGCTAAATTTTGTCATTGTACACTGTTGTAGACTTTCTGCTTCTTGGGTAATTGAAACTTGAATTATCCAAAAAAAATCAATAGATTTGAAAGTTGAGCTAGTATATTTAAAAAAAACCTTCAAAAATATTTGATAAATTAAATTTAATAAAAGGAAAAAAAGTATTCTTAAACTTAATTTTTTTCATCGTTAAAATCACTTAATGAATTAAAAAACAGTTTTTAATTATTAAGTAAAATGGTTTGAAAATTTAAGAGCTAAGATTCTAACAGCAGTAGATTAATTACAAATGTTCACAACTCTACTTTACCCCATCAATAAAAAAAATCAAATTAAAAGTTAGCACTTGATTCTTTTCAACTTTATCAGTTTCATCAATTAAATTAATTTGTTCAAATTAAATAGTTAAATATAACTATTTATAATAGAAATCCATATTCACACCGCTTACCAAAAATGAATTCAGAATACCAAATTAAATTTATGGTTGGCAGCAGGAGGCCACCATCATCAACAAATTCCGTTTGATGTATATACCATAAAAAATAATTAAATTATAAAAATAATACATATACATTAATCATTTAAGGGTAAACTACATGCTTACTCACTGAACTTTACTCTATCTCCTATTTCATTCACCGTACTTTTAATTATTTTCAATTTGCTCACTAAACTTTAGACATTAAACTTTTTTTGTCACTCCACCGTTAATTTTATAATGGCGTTATAATGTGGAATACATAAATAATTTTTAAATCGTCTGAAAATATTATAAATGACACGTTAGAAAAAGGGTAAACTATTTTCTCTCTTCATGTGGAAATGATGGATACCCCATAAAAGACTCATATCACCAATTCACTCTCTAAGTTTGAAGTACAAATTTTCTTCAACTATTTAATCTTTTTTTAGGAAACTCTTTTTATAGTTTTGATTTTTAGTTGTTTTCTTATTCACTTATTTTTTTTATGAGAGAATTGATCTTTATCTTTTCTGGGTTTTATCTTCATTCCATTATTTTTTGATTTGTTCCTTTCGATAATGGGGAAAGATTGTGAAGAAGCTGTGAGAGTGAAGAAGATTGGGGAATTGCTCATAAATTTTGGTTTCAACTTGCTTAGAATCCATTATTTTTTGTGGCATTGGTTTGATCCAAATGATTTTCCCTTGGGATTTATTTCTTCAAGCACCGTATGATGCAATCGGACTTCGTATTATCCCTTTAATTTCTTCCTTTGACTCTTGAAAAACTATAAATGATGGTAGCACGATTTTTTAACAAATTTCGGAGTCAATATTTGGTCATTGATCTTCAGTAAAGGTGGTCAGAAGTGGTTAGAATAGCTGTTAGCGTTATGGTCGGAACCTGGGTTCAAATGAGATTAGGGTATTATACAGAAGAAAGAATTGAGACCAAATAAGAATAAAGATAGTTTGATGCCCACCTAACAGTTGACTATGTATTACGTTTATACTCCGAATAATTGACCCATTCTTCATCTATCTTTTTTTTTTTTGGTTAAATAAGTTCCTTGCATGAACTAAAATCAGTCAGATGGGCAAAAAACGATAATTTCACATAATAATTATGCAGTTTTGAAGGCAAATGAATAAAGATGGCATTCATCAGTAATTGATATTTGATTATACAACAATTCAAGAATGCCTACATTTTATGTATGATTGACACTATAGTCAATTTTATCATCTGAATCTTACCCCCAAAAAAATGATTCTATTTCTTGTATGTTATCTGATCTATTTCTTACACGGTGTGTATATCCTTTTCTACCGCCGTTTTGAACAAGAAGCTAAACGTCAGCACATTTCATTGGTGCATATCCCAGCCTAGACTTCTTTGTGTCATACAGGATATGGAAATTCTGCTGCTGATAGTTCCCAATTATCGAAAGTGCTGATCTCGGTGTCCCCAAAATTGCTAAACAAACCACATCCTCTTCCAGCCATATGAAGTAGTTCTCCACCGGGAAATTCCATACTGCCCCGTCGGTGAAATGTATTCCGAAATCGGGAAGCTCTATGTTTTTGACCCCAGACACATTGTAACATGGGTCCAAGACGGGGAAATCTTTTACCACCGGATAGCCTTTGGTTTTATTCACAAATGCCTCCTTTATGATCTGATAAGTAGGGTCTGCAAAGTAACTTAGAGTAGTGCCTGAATCCACAATGGTGCCACCAGCGCCGTCAGTCGATAACTGCCATGCCTCCTCTGGTATATTCAACACCTCTCCTTCGACAAAGATCGATTTTATCTGGACATAGTAGAATGTGTCGACCGAATTGTTCTTGCCGGTTACCAAAGACGTGAAATTCAGATTAGGGTGGCTCAAAAGATCTTTGTCCTCCCCGAAAATCAGCTTGCTACTCACATTGGCATCACTGTTCCTATCAACAAGACAGTAAGAAAAGGAATGACCATATAGTGATTGCAGCTGAGAGGGAAATGAGAGAGGTCCTCTCCCGAGGCCTAACAACCCTGCAGCACCGTGGAAGAGGCCTCGATTCCAATGACCGCAACCGAACATCACATTCTCCACTGGCCTAAATTCCGAGTTCCCACGAGGAGACGTGAGATTGACCGTAAATGTCTCGAGTGCAAAATCGCCAGTAGTATTCGAACTATCTCCGTACCAATAATAATAAGGACAAGTCTGATTATCAGCTTTGCAAGGCTGAGAAGTATCAGGGGACGAAACCAACTGGCACCTCGGATCTTTGCAACTTATATTCCTGAAGGAACTCGATTCCCTAGGATCATAATGCGGACCAATTTGCTCGAAACAATCATAACAAGGAACACATTGAATCCAATTAAGGTCACTACCAGTATCAAGTATCAAAGAGAAGTGTTTAGGAGGATTACCGACGAACACATCGATAAAGTACTCGCCGGAGCCTTGGCTAACACCAGACTCCAAAGTTGCCACCACCTGTTCATTAACCCCAGCTGTATGAGATTCTGCCGCCGCCGCTTTTTCAACCACCGGCTTCAAATGCTGATTTGATTTCTTCTTATTACTGTTTAGCCTTGAAATGACATTTTGATTCTTCTTCTCGACGACCTTTTTATGAAGTGTCTGAATTCTGGTCGAATCCCTCCTAGTTGACACTAAAACAGATTTTTTTGGCTCGTCCTTTCCATCAATCTGCCTATGCTTCAAGTGGAGCTTCACCGTTTTCTTGGGTTCATCTTTTCCATCATTATCTTCATAATCTTCTTCATGGGAAGTAATCCTTTGGGATTGGTTTGATTCCTTATGTATTGTGAGGCTACAATTATTGCTCCCTGTGGAAGAAGAAACTGCATTGAAGCTCATGTGATCAGGAAATTTGATGCCAGCCAAAGTGGAGATATTGGAATTTTCATTTTTGATGCGATCGTAATGGATTCTAGCTGTTGCTTCCAAAGCACCGGAGGAAATCGAAAGGAGGAGGACAAGAAGACCTAGAGAGACTCTCACCAACATTGCACTGATCTTTAATTTCTTGTTTGGTCACTGAGAAAATCCTACATGAAATGAAAAACCAGAGCCCAGAATCTTTTCCCAAATCAATAACAAAGCACAAAAGAGAAAGGCAGAGTGAAAAGGGCTGATTCAAGAAAGCCCAAAACTCATAAAGGGGAAAAAATGCTTGAACTTGTTGAAGAGAATATAAACATAAAAAAAAATGAAGAGAGAGGAGATAAAAAAGCAGAGGAAACCGAAAGAAGAGAAGGGAAGGCTTAATTTTTCTTTAGGGTGTAGGTGGTCATCTTTGAATCAGCGTTAAAGACTTTGAATCAAAAGAAAGGTAAAATATATATATTAAAAGTCCACTCTTTTGAACAACGCGTTTTCATATGAAATATAAATTAGTTGATTTTTTTTTTTTTGTTATGTAATCGAATAAGTGGAGATGAGATAGTAGGTTGTTTTCAATGTTAAATTAAGAGCAGTTTTTATGAAATATCTCTATTATAAATTATCTTCAGTGATACTCGATCCCACGATCACAAGATTAAATGACTTGCGCTCTACCAATTGATTTATCCAGTCTTGTTCTTCATGTGTGTCTTCCTCTCTGCTTCCTTTATACCCATTGATTTGGGCTTCAAGTTTTTAACTGCATAAACAAGAGAGAGACAAGAAACTGCGGTCTAAAGCAAAGGCAGTCCACATTTACAGCTTTTCTCTTACATCATGTTATCAATGTCCAAGTCAAAGCCTCACTTTATATATTCCTCTAAAATGGTATAATGATAAGTTCTCATTGCGCAAATAATTATTTACTTTTAATATACTAACTATTAACACAAATTATTAATATAATATTTTTATATATGTTCAATTAATGACATATAATATGTTACATCAATACATTATGTGAGCGATATTTTAAATAATGTTACCATAAAATATCAATAATTGTATATATGTAAAAATATTATGTCAATAATATGAATTAATGGTTAATAAGTATTGAATTGATTATTTTTAAAAAATCTTTATTATATGCACATATTCTCATATTTCAATCTAATTACATGTTTATTTCAATAAAATTATATTGACCAATAAACATATCTATTTTTAATATTATACAAAATTTGAAATTTGAAATTTGAAATTTTTATATTTAATATTGTAAAATAATTTATATATTTTAATTATTTAAATAATATTATTTTAAATTAATTAAAATGTTTGATAGTTTTGGATAAATCTACAAGTTTAACTATATTTTAGAAAAAAATTAGCGTAATTAACCTTGTGTACTTGACATAACCTCTGATTTAATCAAATTTGAAATTATTAACCTTTTATTTAACTTTTTTTAAACGTCAGCCTTTTATAAACGTCAATCCACTTTGAGAAATTAACCAAAATTATATACATAAGAGAAATTATTTAAGATGACATATTTATGTTTATATGAAAGTGATTTATTTATAGTATTATATACCTAAATTGTTTATGTTTTTATAATTTAAAATTGGTTAGTATAATTATTTTATATTCTACTTATTTAAATTGCACATCTAAATTTTTTAAAATATTAATTTTATCCCTCGTTATTTCTCTCTCTCTAAATTAGCCCCTAAACTGACTAACTACGATTAAATTTGAAGGCCAATTTGTGATATTGATATTTGAATTCGATATTATTAAATTGTTTTTAAAACATTTTCTTTAAACTTTAAGGGTAAATAAAGAATTTCATCATTCAATCTTGTTCTCTTATTTTAGTCATTAAAGTTTAAAAAAATTAATTTACTTGTTAAATTTTTTATTTGTTCATTATTTGATCATTGTGATGTTAAATACTTAACGATATTATGATTGCATATCTGATTTTAAAATTATGAAATGACCCTATTTTTTCATTTTTATGGAAAAAATATAGTCTTGATTTCCATTTGATTTTTCGATGATGAAACATCTTCTTTCAAATCCCAACATTGGAAAGGTCGAGGAGAAAGCGAGTTGTATATCTCACGAAATCCCAACACTGGGAAGGTTAAGGAGAAAGCGAGTTGTATATCTCTTGATTCCACACATATCGGATGGTGGATATTATAGTTCATTTTTTTGGTTTTATGGTTGAGTTTGTATGAGTTTTAAAGTAATTTAGGTAAAATCTAAACTGATATAGTGGTAAGAGATAATGAGATGAGTCCGTTATTATTTTGAGTGCCTAGAGAAGACGTCAAAGAATGATAACTGCACCACCGACGTGATGCATTGGTGAAATTGTAAAACATTTGTCATTTGAGGAAGAAGATAAAATAAAAAATGTTGTGGATGTCGAATAGATTCTATATCAATAAAATGCATCCCACGTCAACACACATGGATGTCATATCATCATTTCCTTTATGATTTAACATTCGAGTGACTAAAACATGAGTAAATCAATACTTTAGTGAGTAAATTGAAAATTTTAAAATTTTAATGTCTAAATTAGGAGTGAGAAGAAAGTTGAGTGATGAAATTTGTAATTTAACCAATTTTCAATATAATTAAGTTTAATACTAATTAATAAAAAATATCTTGATTAGTTTAATACACTTGTTTAATAAATATTTTTTCCAATTATTTATAATTTAAATATAAAAATTATTAAATAAATTTAAATTAACTTATTTTTAAAAAAAAATTAATGTGATGTGTTTAGTGGGATGAATGTCTTGTGAGTATGTCTTCTTCTTCATATTTTTCTTTCCTTTTTCTTCTTCTCCAAGTTTATCAAAGATGATAGCTTTGTTGTTCAACATTCCTAGTTTGAAAATGTGAAGGTAAGAACTATAATATCCTCATCAAGAGCTTCCTTTTAAACTCTTAATCTTAAGGTTTGGCCAGGGAGACCAAGATGGTTTTTAGGGTTCTTAGATGATTCCATTCCATTTTTAAGGGTTAGAAATCATGATTCTACTTCTTTTAAGTCCTAAAACGAGTTAGTAATATGTTTTCTTGCTTTTGATTAATGAGGAAAGTTGGAGAGAGAGCCAAAGATAGAAACAAGGAGAAACTTGTGATTGGGTGACCTTGAGGTGTTTTTTCACTCATTGGGATCAAGGTAATACACTCCTAACTCGTCTGTACAGCTTGTAGATCATTAAGTGTCGTTTGCTTTCTTGTATGGGTGCATGACTGCATAATGGGTATATTTGTGTTTATAAATGAAATGAGGTGTTTGGATGTTTCTCATGCATGAAAAGAACATATTATGATATGATCCCTTGAAAGGGATTGCAAGGGATTTAGGTAGAAAAGAAATGACTTATTCGTAAGAAAACAATTTTTTTTTGGGTTTGAAATATCGATACTGGATGAACAATATCTATATTATTCATCGGATGGCCAAGTCAAGGGATATTAGTTAGGTAATATCGATAATATGTTTATAGAGTATCGATACTGTTTATGGGTATCTATACCAAGGAAAGGGAATCAATATCATTGTTAAGTTATAAATTCTAATAACCAATTTGGATATCGGTACTCGGGTATTATCGATACCACACAAAGAAGAAGTATCAATACTCTATGTAAGGGTATCAGTATTGAAATAAATTCTAAGATATCAAATTCAAATTTGGTATTCATACTCAAGGTTGGTATTCGTACCCTAAGAGAGTAGTGTTGATATTCCATTTTGGAGTATCGATACCATAAGGGTTTTTTAAAACATCTAAGGTATTTTTGGTGTCGAACCATAGTTTTATGAAATTGTTCTTAGTTTAAGGAGATCAAGCTGCCGTTTTTCTCCATCTCTGTACAAGAATTGGCTATGTACTAGTGACTGAAATTAGAAAATTGCAGGTTATAGCTTCCCGATTACATGCATTCTGCAATGGAGATGTACTAACTGGAATATTAGAAAATTCACTCTTTGCTTTTAAGCTTAGATTGGACCATCAAACATTAATTCCCCTACACAAACTCTCCTATTTGAATAAAGATCAATGATGAAGATGCAAACAAATAAGTAGGATGCGATTGCATATGAAACTCTTACTTGCCTTGCTTGAATTAATATTGCTTCAAAACAAAGTTTTAAAGTAAATTTAAAAGTAATATGGGACCATATACGGTAGCAAATGAGCATGCGAGTAAGTAAATAAAAAGAAGATTCAATTGAAAAATCTCAAGCCTTGACGCTGAGGGATTGAGGAATTTGTTTGGCTTCAAGAGATTTCTCGTATTCTTCAATGGATTTAAAGAGCTCCGAAAAGTTACCTTTCCCAAAACCACCGCATCCGCCTTTCTGGTATTGCTTTCCTTCTTCATCCTTCACCATGCACCCTATTCTCTCTATTATCTCTATGAATATTGTTGGCCTGTTCCAGATCAGAATATATATATATATATATATATCGAAAATGCATTTGATTAGTACTGTAATACTAAGGTAATTCATTGGTAAAGGGAAACTTGCCTATCTCCGATGGGCTTAGTGAAGATCTGAAGCAAGGTGCCTTGATCATCTCTATCAACCAAGATCCCCAGCTCTTCACACTCTTCGATCTGCTCATCACTCAAAATGTCCCCTGCCCTATGCTTCAGATTCTTGTAGTAAGTGGCCGGCGGCGATGGCATGAACTCGAAGCCACCAACAAAACTTCTCTGCCTCATTTCTCTCAGCGTCCTGAATATATCCTCGCTCACCAGCGCCAAATGTTGAACGCCCGCGCCTTCGTTGTGTTCTAGATACGTCTGGATTTGGCTTTTCCTCTTTGTCCCGAAAACCGGCTCGTTCAACGGGAGCAACACCATTTCATCGTTGTTGGCTAAAACGACGGAGTTTAGCCCACTCTCGCTGGTCCCCACGTCTTTGGCCGTAAACTCTGCGAACTCGTGAAAACCAGTGAATGATTTGACGTACGAAACGGAGGGGCCCAGCTCCGGGACATTGCCGACCGCGTGATCCAGTCTTCGGATTCCGTAATCCAACGGGTAAGAAAGCTCCTCCTCCACTTTCTCGAAGCCGGGCAAGAAGGAATCAGGGTGGGAGTTGGTGTTTTTGTTGTAACTGATGTAACGTAAAACGACGTCGCCGTAGAGTTTGACGTCGGATTTAGCGACGGATTGCATGCCGAGACCCCACGAGAAACGGCGGGCGGTGTTGGTGGCATCAGTGCACCAGAACTCGATGTGGTGGAAACGCTTGACGGCGAAGCGGTCGGATTTGGGATTGGAGCGGACGAACTTGGAGAATCCGACCAGCTTGAAATCGTCGGTGGAATTAGACTGGACCATTTTGCGGAGGTCGGGTCGGGTCGGGTCCTGCCGTTGAGAATTCTGAGAAAATGAAGAAGAGTTGATATAAAATGAGCGATGATTTTACTTTTGAGGGGGGAGGTTTTTTCTTTTTTCTTTTTTAGGATAATGTTAATGACGTGTTAAATATATGGAATGACATTGGGTTTTAGATTTGATTACAAGTGTAAGCACAGACCAAGGGAAGATGTGGTTCTGATGCGGTGGAGCCTTCTCATTACACTATTTTTTAAGGTAAAGATTAATCAGTTACGAGATATGAGATACGAGATTCATGAGTGACACTGAGCTGAGCTGTGCAGAGACGTGACGTGAAGAATCAAAATTAATTATTTTAAATATATTTTGTTCATGTTATACTTTTTTTTGGGAATCGATTTATTACCTTTTATATTTTTTTGTGTGGATCAACTTATTACGTGTGTGAGTTTCCTGTAATAAACACATTTTAAAATATTTTTATTCAAACAATAACGACCGCGTATATTATTAATAATTAAAATAGATATCGAATAATATTATCTTAAATTATATTCGATTATTCGATTAAAAAATAAAAAAGAATATGTTCTATAAGTTCTAAATTAATATTTAATATAACGATAAATATCCATAACAATAAAAAAATAAATTATTAAAATTTTATTATTAAAAAACTAAGTTAGAAAGATTCGCCGGCGAGATTTGATGGAAACATGCGACGAACCTCAACAACTTAGAAGGATTCGTCGCCAAGACGAAGAACCGCCAGACGGCAAGGACTCGACCACCGTTGCCAAAGGTGCTCCTCCAATCCCAATCCCGATGGAACCACGCTCATGGACACCATTAAAACTCCTATGCCTTCTCCATCCGAAAACCCTGGGGTTCCTTCTTACAAGGACAAACTTGTAAAAGGGCCTCACACCGTCCCTGAAGATGAAGAAATAATTGAAGAAGATGAAATAGAGATACTCGAGGGAGATGTTTCCCGCACAGTTGTTGATGGGATCATATCAATTGACTTTTTTTGACAGAATACAGTCTCTTGCAGTCAAAAGTCTTGATCTTACGGTTGTTGTAAAACTCTTGGACAGACGTATCAGATATAAACGCTGCGAGGTAAGTTATACGATCTGTGGAAACCAACTCAGCCCTTTCGTTTGATGGACAATTTAAGAAGAAGGAAGGGTCCTCACAGAAGCAACAAAAACGAAAAGATCAAATACTAAAGCACAAACAGCAGCAGAAGCAGCCGCGACAAGTACGACCGGGTAAAGATGAGACGGAAGTAGCCGGAGACGGTGATCGGGCGACTGAGCACGAGGATCGATGCTTGTCTGGTATGTCTGAAGAGGCTGCTTCTTTGTTAGATGAGTATTTGATGAATGAAGGGTTATGGTGGAACCAGCAGCTGCAGCAGGTGAACCATCCTTATTATCAGCATGCTGGTAATTGCAACAACATTAATATCGGCATGCAAACTCAACCAGTTGCTTATTCTTCTTACGGAGGGGATGCAAGTAATGTATACAATGGTGGAGGCTACATCTTCTAAGCATAGTTTTGGAACTTTTGGGGTTGTATTTCCCAGTTTAAATGAATATATATATATACACACACACACAAAAACACACAAATGCATGCACACACTGTAAGGGTTATTTGGATTGGGGTTTCATGCAGTTTGAACAGCTTTTCTACTTTGTTTTTTCTTTTGTAAATGCGGTATAATTGAAAAATGACGATAACAATGAAATCAAATTTAAGAGTTCAATTAATGAACATATTATTTTTAATGAAGTTATAAATAAATAAACAATCAATATAAATATATATATAGCAAAAATAATTGGCAATTCCATAAATATCAATTATTTCATGAGTCTCGTATTGTTTTGAATAAAATTTTAAAGCAAAGACATTATTTTGAATAACATTTTAAAATAAGATTCTATTTTGAATAACATTATAAAATATAAATCACTCAATGTGCCATGAATGAGTTTATAAAATGTGAAAACCGGACCGTCCAAAAAATCAGTGTAGCACCACAAAGCCCAAATGAAACGTATTATGCAGGAAAGATTCAAGCCAAGCCTAATTATCCTGCTGAACAGATGCCTAAGCCCACACATATATAAAATGATAGAAAATTAAATAAAAAAGTGGGAAAAATACAAATGTCACATACAGGTTTTGAACCTGAGAAATTTCGTATTGGAGAGTCGGGATGAAATTTAAAACTCTTTGGAGGGCCAATGCTATTTTTTTATATAAAAAAATTATTTTGAATGCTAAATTCTCTAAAGGGGCCAAATATGCTATTTACCCGATCTTTCGAGGGGAACCAACCGGCCAAGTCCCATTGGTTTTTTAGGCCCTCCATGCACATCTCTAGATAAAGTTACATGAACCAGAATTATAAAAAATAATTCTTTTAACAATGAGGCCACTCTTGGAGTTCTATTACATAAATTTATTAATCCCTAAAAGGTTCCATTCTTTTAAAGTAATTTATGGAGAAGCTAAAACATTAATCAGCTAATTCAAACAGGGAAACATAAGCTTATGTAATAAGCACTTCAAACAATGAGATCATATATAACTTGATTTGGTTAGTGTTTTTGTAAGAGGGGATGCAATTTGGGTATCAATGGAAAAAAGCAAAGTAAAATAGATTCTCCACTGTCTTGGAATTTAGGTATAAATTTCTATAATTACTTTTGCTATTTTAGGGTTATATCATTTGTCAAAAGAAATCCCACTTAGCTGAAAAGAAATGTTTTTTTTAACGAACAATGCTAAAAAATACTTCTTTTTTCTTTGCATCAAGTTGCGAGAGTGTAGTGAACTGTAAATATATCCAACAACAAACAAAAGAGTGGTTTTTCTTTATTAAAATTGGAAATAAAATTAACTGACTCCATAAATATTATTTAATTTAGGAAGATGAAGCAAACATCTTTGACCTTTCCACACCCTTCAAATTTTTTATGAGTACAACTACACCCTTTAATTTGTTGATTGGTCTTCTTTTAGCCCACGTTCCTAAGACATGTTTATATATTTCTCACCATGTACATAATATGGCCTTGAAATTTTGCATTAATTTGTTAGTTAAGAGCAATAATCCCTTGATAACAAAAAAGAAAAAGAAAGAAAATCATGCAAAAAAAGAGACGGGAATGAAGAAATGGGTAAGGATTTCTTTCTCATTTCATGAACCCTAATATACCTTGGGATTATATTTCTCACACTAATCCAAGTCTCCTATGGCATTTGATTCAAAGGTTTAAGCTTTATAGGGTGTGAAATTGTCTCTTTTTTAAGCAACATTGATGAAGAAACAACTCTATTATACCAACAGAGTGGGGTGAGATCTATAGTCTGAACGACCTCCATGCTTTCAAGAAACATAATTATTATAATATTGTTATGTACATCATTCTCGAGAAAAGCCTCTAAAAATAAAATACGATCTAACTTATCCTTTTAAACCTTGAGACAAATAATGTTGTTATTTAAATAAAACTTTAAGACAATAGAATATTCATAAAAAAATGGTCCCCTCCTTAAAGAAGACAAGGAACTTGTACGAAAAGGATTATCAATTGATATTTCTGCAGGATTGGAGCATACGGCTTGTGGCATCATGTTCCCCCAATGATCTTATATTATAAATTATAATTCCAACTCTCTTTAAAATTATAACATCTTTAAACATTAGTTAAATTTGGTTTTGGGACTACTTCTATGAGAACATTTAAAGTTCACAGATTTGAATTAAAATCAAATAAAAGTATTGTACTGATCTTTCATCAACCAAAAATAATTCATATGTTATGTTCATTCCAGCACGAAGGGTTGGACCACAAGAATATTTATGTTGTTCTTTATTTATATATTAACATATTTGTCCAAATATCAACGGAATAATATATCAAATGACGTTTATAACTTGAATGATTTTTAATCCCTGTGGGTTGTAGGTTTTGATTTTGTTGTATTTGTTCTTCATAAACCTTTATATTAGTTTATATTCAATAATAAATTTATTCCATAGGCTTCATACAAAATAAAATATGCATAGAGACAGATTGGACTATTTGATTAATTCCTTTTTTTCTTATTAGGATATTATTTTAGTAAAAATAAGAAATATATATTTAAAAAACACCAAATATTTCTAAGTGGTACTCGAACTTTGACCCTAATCAGTAAGGTAAAATTAAAAAATACCGACTGAATCAACAACTGATGTTCAATTCTAAATAATTTAAAATTTCTATTCTATCCTAAGAAATATTATAAATTCAATTTTAAAATAATTTAACATTAATTTTATTAAAATATATAAATAATTATTTAATAAATTTTTATTCCCAAGCCCAATGGTATTCCCCGCTCAATGTGGGAGAGTGTTTTACACATTACCAACAATGACTTTCTCTGGGTGCGATCATACCAGCATTAATGCAACAGATCCCATCAGAACTCTGCAGTTAAGTGTGTTTGGGCGAGAGTAGTACTAGGATGGGTGACCTCCTGGAAAGTCTTCGTGTTGCACCCCTCCTTTTCGGATTATATTTACTAGTAACGTCATCATGTGACATGAATGAGGAAAAAACAGTCTCTTCATCAATAATAAAATGACTCTTTTAAACTTTTATACCTTCATCTAACACGATACGAATTTGGTGTTGTGATAAAATAGTTGATTTTCATACATCAAGGATGCCATTATACTAATCGAGATATGCAACTCGTACGCTCTGACGCCAATTTATTAGAAGATAATAACAAACATAATAATTGCATAACAAAAGAAACATTAAAATTTTATGTTAAAAATCTTTTCGTGAAAAATCACGTACAAAAGATGAGAAATTTAACTAGTGTTGATAAAAGAAGAATATAAGAGAAATCATCTTCGACAACTTAACGTATATCTTTTTGTAAAAACGATTACTTGGTTACAAACAAAATTTATTTAATAGAGATCTATTAAAATTCATTTTTATACTTTTAATAATATAGAAAGTAAATATAGTTAATTCGTTCGATCAAATTAAGTTTTATACTTTCCTAAAATTTCTCTTAATATATATCTTCATTAATATGGGTTAATAAAATTAGAATCAAACTGTAACATAAGAATTAAGATATATAATATTTAAATTATGATAAAATTAATTATGAATGGTTCTCATATTTTATTATTTTACTGGCATTGGCTGTATTTATATTGAATACAATGATTGTATCTGTTAGAATTTGTTTTTATATGGTCCGGTTTTGTTAAATGAATTACATTTTTAAAAAGGCTATCGATGTGGTCGTAACACAATAACTCGGCTTCATCTGCAATTCCCCCGAAAATTAAAGCCATTTAGCGCCGTCACCAAAAAAAAAAAAAAGGTCACATACGATAAATCACATTGCATTGCAGACCCAAAATTATGGAAACAATTGTACGGAGGCTGTCGCTTCAACTCAGTAGACCCCAAAACCTGTGGCTCATAACTTGACACTGTCTACTGTTTCATCCTTTTAACCAACCATGTTTCGACAACCCTACTGCCTCCTTTGTTTTTAAATACATTTTATTATTTTTTAATTTTTTAATTAATGTTAAATAAGCATAAGATAATATTTATTTAATTATTTAGTATTAATATTCACATTTTTATATTTATAGTATTTGAATTCGAGAACTAAAAATAATAATAATTGTATTACAATTAAATCACTCAGCTCATACAAATATATAGAAAAAAATCTAATTATTTTTAAATTATGTATACCAATGATACATGAAATACAAAACCTATTTTTAATAATAATTATTAGTATCTACTTTTCCTCTTCCGTTTCTTTTTCCCTGTGTATGTACGGGAAGCCTTTGGGTTCATATTACATCAATAAATAGAATCCTATACTTTGGAATAGCCATTTTTGTATCAGTTTCATGTTCTCCTTTCCCCTGTAAGTGAGAAAAAGCATATGAATCCATAGCTTTAGGGTTTCTTGAAGTTTGTTTTCTATTTGTTTCTTTAGTGAGAAAATTAGCATCTTCTTTTTTTCCCTTTGAAAGAGTGGGGATAAAATGGGGAGAGGTAGGGTTCAGCTGAGGCCGATCGAGAACAATATTAGCAGGCAAGTAACATTTTCAAAGAGAAGAACTGGTTTGCTGAAGAAAGCTCATGAGATCTCAGTGTTATGTGATGCTGAGGTTGCTTTGATTGTTTTCTCTAACAGAGGCAAACTGTTTGAGTACTCATCCGCTTCCAGGTTTTTTCTTCTTCTTTTTTACAAATAATTCTTTCTTTCTTTTAACTAGTTTAATTTTACTCTTTTCATCTCTTGGTTTTGCTTACTGTATACTGCATGCTTTCATATACATACACAAACATGTATATATGTTTATATTTTCATTTCTGACTGTTTTTAAGTTCTGGGTCTTTGTTATTTTCCCTCTCTTTGTCCATTATACTGTACTATGTATGCTTTGCATTACACCAAAATCTTCAGCTTTCTGACACATTTGACTCACTCTTTCATATAAATACAAGAAAAAGCTAAGGGAAAATGAAAAAAATGGGAATAATAACATATGATTTTCTTTTGATGAGCCATTTCAGATGTCATTTTCTTCTCACTGAAGCACTTTCCATTTAACATGATATTGTTTCCTTCTTTAGTTAAAGAAGATGACCATTTCTTGTTTATCTTCTTATTTGTTTCCTCCCTTTTCTGAGGATTCCAGGAAAGTTTCTGTATAATTGATTTGTCAGATCAGAACTGAATATATTAGTATATATATGTTGTCTAACCTCTCTGATAATCTTTGCTAAGTCTTAATTTAGTTTTACTTTTAGTAATTAATATTTGATATGTAGTACTTGAACATTCACATAAAAGTTAAACAGGAAATTATTTGAACTGCAAATCATGGGACGAGTTTGCTTGATTGACATAGTGCAAAGTAATAGCAGTACCCTAACCAAAAAACCTTATTTCAAGCAGACTAATTCAACTTCGAAGAATCAAGTTGTGAATGCAACTGTTGTGAATTAATCTTCTTGGAATAAGGTTTTCTAGTTAGGGTAATGCCATTAATTTGCATTATGTCAATCAAGCAAACTCATCCCATGATCTGCGGTTCACAATATGATATGATTATAAGGTATAGTATATGTCTAAATTCTTCTAACTATTAATACACTCATCCTGTGAACGTAACTGTTCGAACCCAAAATGTATGAGAAAAATAATACTTCCTCTAATCATTAAGATTACTTGATAAATTCTAATATATTTGTAACTTGTATGTTCTTGAAGTTAAACAAAATATAATTTAAGTGGAAGATAAATGTTTCTGTTGTAAGTTAATTCAAAGGACAATAGCGTTTGTAATTTTTTGGGGTGGTTAAGCCAAAAAAAATGTCAAAACAAGATTAATTTAAGTTTGAATTGTGCCACTCCCTAGAGCTTTGTGTCATACATAGGGCATGGTGTTATTGCACATTTCTCTCATTGTTTTATTTTTCATGTCTTTTGCATCTAATTTTTAACCTAGGATATTGGAATTTGTTTTTGATTCACCTAGGAGATTGCCTCCTAATGATATTAGCTACATCCATAGGCATTATATATATATATATATATATATATATATATATATATATATATATGGAAAGTGAGGAAAGCAATGTAACTTTGTCGTTCACAATTTCCATGTGGATCTTTTTATACTTGTATACATTAGCCACTTGATTAAATGTTGTTCTCTAATTATAACACCATTTTAGAGTTTATATTTAATGATATTATAAAAAATAGCGTAAATAAATACATATAAAAGATTTTGTTTAAATAGTTCAGATCCATCATCAGTGCTATTTTTTTTAATTTAGTTTAGAGAGAAATTTAGTCTAATATTCTTAGTATAAGAGACTTGAGTCCTCTATCTAATTACACACTACTTGTAGGCACTCTCTTATAAAAGGTTATCCTAACTATTTATCTCCTCAAATAACTCCCACTAATTACTTAATGCATGTTGTAAATACAACCTTCAAAACTCTTAATATCTCACTTACAAAGTTTCTCAAATAAATTGATTTATGTGAAACAATAAAGCTCTCTTTGACATAATACAATGAGAGCTCTAGTTGAAACTAGACACCAATAATCTTTTTTTAGTAAGTTAAGGTAATTATAAAATAATATATGTTTTAAATATTCTGATAATCGTCCAATTTCCTTGTTTGATTACAAAGTAGTATTTGTTCTAAGTTGAAATTAGACACTAGTAATCTTTAGTTAGACATCATGCATTTTTTTTTAAGAATTGGGATAAGTATTCTTTAATTCTTGTAAAATGTCCCATAAAGTAGGTGATCAAGTAAACTTCAAAAGACAAATTCGGCAGTATTGAACAAGTTTTCTTGGAAAATAAAGTCTTCCATCAATGATGTTAGTACAAAAAATTATTTACGAAGATGGTATTGTTTTATTTTAAAATAATTATTAATATCTGATCTATTGATTAATTAATCTATATCAAATTTTACAAAAGTTCATTCCTCCGACTCTGATAATAGCATTCTTTAAGTTAGATTATCATTCTTTAAGTTATCTAAAGAAATGAAATTCATCCTCAATTATTTACGTAAGTAACATATTTTTACGAAGTGAACGTGTCACATAAAGGAAAAGTGTGCACACTCAACACTCATATCTTGTATTGCTTAAAATGGAAGGTGTAACTGATGAAGCACACTTTTTAGGATATATATATATATATTCGAAAATAACATTTTAAAGTTTGTGCTTTTACAGAATTTTTTTCTATCAGCATTTTAAATTGGAAAGTTTGGTTTTAATCTCGTGCGTCTAGCCCCGTAAATAAACCGAACGCATACGAACAGATGTATGTTAATATTCGTTCATTTAATAAATAAACGAACACGAATATAAATGAATTTTTTTTTCTTTCATGTTCATTCGTTAAGGAATATAGCTTGTTCATGTTTGTTCATTTAAATGATAAACGAACATAAATGAACATAAACGAATATAATAAATAAACATAAACGAACACAATAAATGAACATAAACGAACATAATAATGAACATAAACGAACACAATAAATGAACATAAACGAACACAATAAATGAACATAAACGAACACAAACATAAAAAACAAACTTATTCAAACACAACAAATGAATGTAAAAAAAGTAAACAACAAGAATAACAACTTAAAATTCATTAATATAACATGGAACTTTAGAGTTAGTTTGTTCGAATACGACAAAAACATACATAAATCATAAATAAGCTATATGAACATAATAAAGACTTAAAGTTAATTTGTTCAACAAATCTTCTTGAAATCCAAACAACTTCAATAATCTTCGTAACATATTCAACTTGCTCTATGTTTGAACATAAATGAACGAACATATAATCGAACGTTCACGAACGTAAATGAATGAACGAACCCTTTATTCGTGTTCGTTCATTTAATTAAACGAATGCAAAACTTGTTCATGTTCGTTTATTTAATAAATAAACGAACATAAACGAACTTCCCGTCGCACAATTCATGAACGGTTCGGTAAACGTTCAGTCCATTTACAGTCCTACGTGCGTCTATCACATTTTAGAATAACGAGCGCAAAAAATGTAACATCCTAATTTAGTTTAGCCCGAATTTAATTAACTTAAATATTATACGGAATTGACTAAATATCTTTTCCTTTTGAATATATTTAACAAATCATAAAGATATAACAATTAGTCCAAAATAAATAGTATAACTTAAGTTCATAAAAATTATAGAGCTCCAAACTAAAAATACAAACCAAATATCAAATATAAGTTTTATAAAACGAAGTTACGTCTGGAATATAAGTCATAAATATCCCATATAAATCAAAGATGTATTCTAAAAGATCAACAAAAATTTGATTCGACATGGTGCTCCTCGAATGGCTCCTAGATGCAAGTGAATGGTAACACATTCTAAAAATTGAGCCACGAGCTAAGTGTCACACAAATAACTCTAGCATACTATATGCATTCATAATATAAATATGCTTAAGTGTGTAGCCAAAGAAGCATATTGTCAATGTCATGCATATCTACAATCACAATATAACATCAAGGATGAAGTTCAGATAACCGTAACTTAAAGACTCATCCACAACACATAAGCAAGCATTGTGATGTAGTTTGGGATCACATGTACATCACGAGACTCACACCCCTCTAACCTGAATCACCTTTGCATTAGGAACGAACACCTGACTAGCCTACTCCTCTAGAGCATATGGATGAATTTAGGTCACAAGAGCATTAGATCAACATTTGACTAGCATACTTTAAGTGTCTCATCACGAATCTTATGATATTTGGATAACTCATTAAACACAATAAAAGATCTTCAACCACAAGTAATATGGGTGTGCTCCTTGTTTCCCGAATGTCAATCAAAGACATAAATTTTAAGAAATCTTACATCATAATATTCTTATGCTTTTCACACACATACCATTAATTATTCACATTATTATTAACTTCTTATTATTAAGCTATCACTTTTAAGCTTATTTCCCGATATCAGTCACATTAGACACTCTACTCATAAGTCCTATTCAATATCTCAAATATGCTATTCCGTTATCATTGATGGTATCTATACCTATACTTGGGTATTGATACAAACACATGGATAAAAGTAATCCCCTTAAGTATTGATATAAAAAATAGCCTCGAAGTCTTATTAACCTTTACTATCATTGCCAACCTATATAGTATATCAATACTTCCCTTGAGTACAAGTACCCAATTAAGTCTTCGAAGTCTCTTAAAAAAACCTTGGTAATAATATTAGCACTTGATATCAATATCAAAGAAACAATATCGGTACCTCATGAATTTGGTATTATACTCCACTTGTAAAATGCCTAGAATTTATCCTATAAAGAACAATATTGATACCAATTTTTTGCATAAATATTAGAAAGGTTGTCCGACATCGAATAGGATTAATAATGATATGAATATAAAAAAAGACATCCTAAACGATGTACATATTGTAGAAATTTTGGTTACAACAGAAAAATGTCCAACTCTATTAACATCATTAAACTTACAGACTATAATATTTTCTTTGTAGGAATGCTATATTTCAATACATACTTTATTAAAATTAAATTATTTTAAATATATTTAATTTTATGTATTTTTAAAGATTTATATTAATATTCATTTAATCAGTCTATAAATAAAACTTAAGATAATCAAATTCAAAATTCATAATCCAAAAACTATAAAATTGTTAATAAAAAAATAAGCTTGTGATGGTTTTTGACAATTTATCTTTTTTATTTTGGACATAATCTCACGGTTGGTGGCTCAATTTAAATAATTTGAATATTGTATGAATAATAATAATAAAAGCAGAATCGTAAATATTAAACAAAAGTAGATGTACGAGTCATATGCACTATCATTCCTTGCATTTGCAGTAAATATTCACGAGGTTGTGTAAATTTCCCTGTTATTTGTGTAGTTCAATTCGTTGTTCATGTTGATGTATTTAGGTATTTTCCTTGATTAACTTCTTGTGTTGTAATTACAGCATGGAGAGAATCCTAGAACGATATGAACAAAAATCATACGCAGAGAGGCAGCTAGCTTCATCAGGCTCTGAATCACAGGTATGCCTTGCATAAAATCGTGAAATTTATTCAAAATGTAAATCATGTATTCTATCCTACTTAATTTGTATTTGATGAATACCTGGATATACGTATACAATACGATAAAAAACCTTAATAATATATTTTAAAAAATAGGAATATTAATTGAACGTTCTTTTATTCAATATCATCCTTGAACTTGGATAGATTGACAACAATAATTGTATTATTAGTTTTTTTTATTTAAAGGAAAATGGGATCATTAAACTCTTTAAGCCTTATGTAAATGCTGCACAGGCAAACTTGTCTTTGGAATGTTCCAAACTTACGTCGACTGTTGAAGCAATACAAAGGAACTTGAGGTACAAATGTAACTACATATGTTTGGAAGTTGCTGGCATATATGATATTTGCGTAATGATAAAAAATGTTATTAAACGATTAATTAAATAATTATTTTAATTTTTATTCTCTTTGTTAGAGTAGTGTGATTTTAGCGTTTTATTTTGAGACAAAAAAACCTAATGTGACTGGAAATTGTTACTTAATAAATGGTCAACTCTTCAAAATAAGAGTTTTTTTGTCTTAAAAATAAAGGCTAAAATGGCCTTATGTTGGATTAGATATTATATTAATCAATGCAGGCAGCTCCGAGGAGAAGAGCATGATACCTTGAGTCTGAGGGACCTGCAGCTTTTGGAACAACAAATTGGTAATTCTCTGAAACGAATACGGACTAGAAAGGTAAAACGAGCTTGTTCAATGATTTCTTTGAAAACTTATTTTCCAATTCTAGTCATTTGAATGCTTTAAGTCTACTAAACCATGATTTGCTCTGACATGCAGAATAAACTCATGCACGAGTCCATTTCATTGCTGCAGAAGAGAGTAAGATTTTGTCATATGATGAACTCTTTCCCCATGACTTGGTTTATATTTAGTAATCTAAAAGTAAATACGAAAAGAGAACAAATATTTTGACACGGAATCTTGTGACAGGAAAGGACATTGCAAGACCAGAACAACATGCTGGCAAAAAAGGTAATAAAAAAAAAGCAACTTAATACATGCCTTTCACTATTCAACTATATATATGAAGTTTGTTGTTTCATTCTTTGACTTTGATTTAACACTTGTGCCATTGATGAAGCTGAAAGAAAAAGAGCAGACGCCGACTGAACATGCACCACATGAACTGCGAAACCTTGCCTCCTCCTCCTCCTCCTCCACCTCCTCCCCATCCGTACAACCACCAGCAACAGTACAATTTCCTTCTTTGACCATTGGGTATATTCTCTTACAAAATTGCAGTGTGATTTACTTACAACACTCGTGCAATGACACTGATTCTAGAGTCTTTTTTTATATATAAAAAAAAATGAATCATGCAGAGGGAGTTACGAGGCTATGGAAGAAACAAACAGGGAGGCTCAGTTCAATCTAAACCTATTACCAATGCCGTGATAGCTTCCTGGATGCTTATAAACAGACAGAAAGCGGAGCCTAACACTTAACACGAGCTGTTCAAATCTCGAACATTTCAAACAATGCTTTATAGAGGCATAACTTACTGCAGTGCCATAAAATCCTCAGAAAGTTAAAATGCGATGAGTGAACTTTATATAAGTTGTTTATTTGAAAACACATTACTGTTTTCCAGACCGTAGGATCCCAGTAGAAAATGCTAAAAGAGGTACAGCGCATTGCTTTACAATTATGTGATGCTGAGCCTGATTGCAATATTAAATGAGATCAGTTAGTATAATTTCGATTTTATATTTATATCCATTGTTATAAACCTCCCAATCTTAACCAATCTCTAACGGCTTATTAAACTTGTTGTAAACCTTCAAATCTTCATTGATCATATATGCTGACATGTCCCCTTCTCTTTGCTGTTTTTGCTTTGAAGAAGCCAAAGAATCTGATGATATAATCAATAGGATAAGGATATTGCCTATAATAATTGGACCTGATGAGAGGATTGGAGGAATATTGAACAAGCTAATGGACCTGATGAGCTCCATATTATAATGGGTTGGATTAAAGTTAGGCACATTAGGATAAGGATATTGTGTTCGAGACGAAATAGTTAGAGCATGTGGGCTTAGTAAAGAATGTAGCTCGTTAAAACATGTGGGCTTGGAACAGGTAATAGCAATCAATGTGAATTTGAAACAGGTAACTAAGAAAATAATCCCTCATTGATCTTATGTAACAAGCAGCGAATGTGCATTCTTTGATCGAGAAGAGGAAGCAAAAATTCAACCAAGAAAATTAATCAATTTATCATTACTTTCCTTACTATCATATTCACATTAGTAAATATATCTCACCATTTAAAATATGTAGGTTCACATGATTGTTCACATTAGTAAATATATCTCACCATTTAAATATTTAGGCAAAATGGTACTTGAGGTTCATATACTTGTCCAAAAAAATTAATATGGCCCTCGATATTTTTTTACACTAATGTGCCACTCAAACTTATAAAAAGAATTCAATGTGGTCCTTTGACCAACAGTTTCCGTCGTTGACCTTTACGATGTTGACATGACACTTCACGGTGCTGACGTAGCGATCTACAATGCTGATATGGTAGTCCATAGTGGCTAGTGACGCGGCTAATGGTGTGGCAGATGAGCTAAATTGTTTTTTTCAAGTTCGAAGGTCAAATTGATTTTTTTAAAAAGTTTAAGGACTTATTTGATTTTAAAAAATATATATATTTTAAATTAAAAAATATATATATTTTAAATTAAAAAATATAAAGATATTCAAAAACTTAAATATAATAATACCAAAAATAAAAATTAAATTATTTAAAATTTAAAATATGTATTATTACTTTCAACCTCGAATTTAACTTGACTTTTATTTATATAAATCTAAATTCACTCTTCCCGCACATATTTTATTTTATATATTTACATCTAGTTATATTAAATTTTAAATTTTAAGTGTCATTTAAATTTTATTTCACTAAATTTTTATAAAATGAATTAATTAAATATTATAAAGTCTTATAAAAATAAAATTTAAAAATTATGAAATTAAAATTTATTTATAAATTATCATTAACTATATAATTAGAAAATAAAAAATAGTTATCCAATTAAGAGAAACATTTTTAGTGAATATAACATGATATGTGTGTTGAAAACATTTTGTTGTTTCGATATAACAAATTAAATTAAAAGAATTTTAATTTTGAAAATGATTTTTCTAAGCATATTCGATATATTAAATTGAATATCAAAATATTACTCAAAGTATTTCAAAGTTCATTTTAAATCCTTACTAAAGTGTAAAATTAAGTTTTAATCTTAAAATATTTTCAAAACGATTTTACAAAAATATTTCGAACCATTTCAAAGCAAAAAATTCCAGATTGCTCAGAGGGAATCGATTCCCCCCAAGGGGGTACCAATTCCCCCCTGAATGGTTTGGCTTCGAGAATTCCAGTATGCTCGGAGGGAACCGATTCCCCCCACTGTTCAACGGTCGAATATTTGAATTTTACACTTATGGAACCGATTCCCCATGAGGGGTACCGATTCCCCCTCACGCTCCAAGCTGTTGTATTAATGGTTTTCACACTTAAACGGCTCCATTGACTCCACTAATCATCCCCAAAGTTCAAAATCAATTGAGGGAGTATTTAAACAAGTTCTGAAGCCTTTGATCAACAAGAAATTATAGAGAAACAAGAGAGAAAGCATCAAACACCAAGTTTGTGCAAATCAAGCCAATTTTTCTTTCAATATTCATTTTGCTTTCAAGAACACCATTTGTGCTCATTTGTAATTATTTTTGAGTGTTCTTTTCTTGTTCTAGAATTGTGCAAACATCTTACCTTGTGAGGTTTTCCTTGTAAGTTTGCAAATTTGTGTATTTCTCTTTGAAAAAGAGTGTGCTCAAGAATTTGGGGTATAATTCTTGAGGGAGTTGTAAGATTACTCTTTGTCCTCAAAAGAAAGAACAAATTAGTGAATTTGTTGGAAAATCCTTAGTGTGGATAGCTAAGGTAGTGGACGTAGACTTTGGTTGAGAAAGTCGAACCACTCTAAATCATTGTGCAAAATATTTTCAATTTTCTACAAAAGCTTCCACCAAAATTTTAATTGCCAATTCACCCCCCTCTTGGCCATTTTCATTAATCGATTAACTCAACAATTGGTATCAGAGCTTGACTCATTTGAAGGTTTAACTGCCTCTTGAGTAGATCCGGGAAGAGTTAAATCGATAAAGATGGCATCCACTTCCGGTTCATTCTCCATGGAATAATCCAGACCAATTGACGTGCCTCCACACTTCAATGGAACAAATTATCGTCGTTGGAAGAAACTTATTATGATATTTATCCAAACATTTGATATGGAAGCTTGGATGATGATTGAGAAAGGATATTCTTCTCCTACAAAGAAGGCAAAGAAGTGGAGTGATCAAGAACGGAAGAAAGCTCAACAAAATACAAAAGCTATGCACATGTTGTGTTGTGCAATTGATCATAATGTATATAAAGGAGTTTCTTCTTGTTCAAATGCCAAGGAGATGTGGGATAAGCTTGAGGAGATCTATGGAGACAAAGAAGAAGAAGAACCAATAAATGTGATGTCTCTATTAGCTCTCACAGAGCCAAAGGTATCTTCTAACTCAAATAAATTAAATTCAAAATCTTTTAATGAGTTACAAGATGCTTATGATGAATTATTTTCGGAGTTTGAGACCATGAACTCCAAATACAATAAATTGATTTTTAAATTTATTGCTAAAAATGATCTTCTTTTGAAAGCTAAAACAGACTTGAAAAATCAAAATGAAATGTTGAGAAAGGAGTTAGAGCTTTCAAAAATAAAATCTAAAAACTTTGAAAAAGAAATTTTCAAATTAAACAAACTTCTTCTAGAAACGAAAATGGATTTTGAAAATCAAAATGAAATCTTGAAGAAGGATTTAGAGCTTTCAAAAATGAAATTTGAAAGTATTGAAAAAGAAAATTTTGATTTAAAAGTTAAGCTTGAATGTTTAACAAAAGAAAAAGATATCATTTTAAATAATTCATCTAGTTCAATAATGACAATATGTTCACATTGTCATTATCATGGTCATAGGGAACATACTTGTCCTTTAAAGAAAGGAAAACGATTTAAAATTAGACAAGTATGGGTTTCAAAAGGAACAAGGGGCATTGAAACTAATGTTCAAGGATCCAAAGCAATTTGGATACCAAAATCTACTTAAATGTCTCTTGTAGGTGTGTGGGAGCAATGGTGATCAAGATGATGATATTCAAGATGCTCTAGCCACACATGTAAAAGGAATGGGTAACCTCTAAACTTAATGTTTTTTATTTTATTTGGTTGCTCATTTAGTTTATGCATGCATGAGGTTTTAAATGTTAAATAATTCTAAATGATTATGTTTTGTCTCATGTATGTTGAAAAATATTGTATGATTAACATAATAATTTTTGGTAATGTTTTATAAACTCTAGTTCATCATATTAAGTTTTGGTCAAAATTGTTTTTAAAATGTAATTGATATCTCTTTAACAATTGATATCGATTTTTCAAGAACTTTGGTTTTGCAAAATTTTGACCTTAATTTTTTCTTAATGATTATGCATAGATTTTTTTTATTATAAAGTTTTAATGCATAACATTTTCAAAAACTTTATGCATGTGCTTTTAATCTCAATTATCAACATTGCATAATGTTTTGTATGTGAATGGATTAAAGCATAATTTGATTACATGAATTTGACAAAAGATACAATGTCTTATTTTTAAATCAAGTGTTTGCAAAATTGATTGACATTGCATCTACTTTGATTATGCTTGTTGGTCATAGAATAAGAAACATTTACATGGTGCATTTAGATTCTATCAATATGACTAATTTATGCCTAGTTGCTAAGGATGAGCATGATAGTTGGTTATGGCATAGAAGACTAGGACATGCTAGTATGAGTGTTTTGCAACGGTTAATTCAAGGAGACTTAGTAAGAGGACTGCCTAAACTGAAATTTGATAATGATAAAATCTGTGATGCTTGTACTAAAGGAAAACAAAAGTGAGTTTCTTTTAAATCCATTAATGACGTATCAACTAGTAGAGTATTACAATTGATCTATATAGATCTTGTTGGGCCAACTAGGACTACTAGCTTGGGTGGAAAACAATATGCATTTGTCTTGGTAGATGACTATTCTAGATATACTTGGGTTCTATTCTTAAGCACTAAAGATGAAGCATTAGAAAAATTCATCATGTTTTCAAAAGTAATCCAAAACAAAAAAGGTTACTCTATAACTAGTGTTAGGAGTGATCATGAAACTGAATTTGAAAATCTTGGATTTACTGAGTTTTGTAATTCTAATGGTATTATCCATAATTTTTTATCACCTAGAACCCCTCAACAAAATGGAGTTGTTGAGAGGAAAAATCGAACTTTAGAAGAAATGGCTAGAACCATGCTTTGTGAAAACAATTTGCCAAAATATTTTTGGGCGGAAGCCACAAATACTGCTTGTTATGTTATTAATCGAGTAATGATTAGGCCTATTTTAAAGAAAACTCCATATGAACTTTTTAAAAATAAAAAGCCTAACATTAGCTATTTTCATCCTTTTGGATGTAAATGTTTTGTTTTAAACAATGGT